AAAGAATAACAGAGCGGCTAAAAGAGGTCAATATATCTGAAATGCGTAGGGAGACACTGGTCAGAGAAATAGCAAGCATCGAACTTAAGCTAAAAGAAATCCTTTAGGAGTCAGGAATCGCGGGAAGAACTAAAAGCCATAAATGAAATCGAAAGAAACCCAAAGTATTTCTTCTCCTATGCCAAATCAAAATCGAGAACAACGTCCAGTATTGGGCCCCTACTTAAACAAGATGGGTCCTACACAGATGACAACAAGGAAATGAGTGAGCTACTCAAGTCCCAATATGACTCAGTTTTTAGCAAGCCGCTAACCAGACTGAGAGTCGAAGATCAAAATGAATTTTTATGAGAGAGCCACAAAATTTGATTAACACAAGCCTATCCGATGTTATCCTGACGCCAAATGACTTCGAACAGGCGATAAATGACATGCCCATGCACTCTGCCCCAGGGCCAGACTCATGAACTCTGTGTTCATCAAGAACTGCAAGAAGCCCCTATCACGAGCCTTTTCCATCCTATGGAGAGGGAGCATGGACACGGGGGTCGTCCCCACAGTTACTAAAAACAACAGACATAGCCCCACTCCACAAAGGGGCAGTAAAGCAACAGCAAAGAACTACAGACCAATAGCACTAACATCCCATATCATAAAAATCTTTGAAAGGGTCCTAAGAAGCAAGATCACCCACGCATCTAGAAACCCATCAGTTACACAACCCAGGGCAACATGGGTTTTAGAACAGGTCGCTCCTGTCTGTCTCAACTATTGGACCACTACGACAAGGTCCTAAATGCACTAGAAGACAAAAAGAATGCAGATGTAATATATACAGACTTTGCAAAAGCCTTCGACAAGTGTGACCATGCGTAATAGCGCACAAAATGCGTGCTAAAGGAAATAACAGGAAAAGTCGGTCGATGGATCTATAATTTCCTCACTAACAGAACACAGAGAGTAGTCGTCAACAGAGTAAAGTCCGAGGCAGCTACGGTGAAAAGCTCTGTTCCACAAGGCACAGTACTAGCTCCCATCTTGTTCCTCATCCTCATATCCGACATAGACAAGGATGTCAGCCACAGCACCGTGTCTTCCTTTGCAGATGACACCCGAATCTGCATGACAGTGTCTTCCATTGCAGACACTGCAAAGCTCCAGGCAGACATCAACCAAATCTTTCAGTGGGCTGCAGAAAACAATATGAAGTTCAAACGATGAGAAATTTCAATTACTCAGATATGGTAAACATGAGGAAATTAAATCTTCATCAGAGTACAAAACAAATTCTGCCACAAAATAGAGCGAAACACCAACGTCAAAGACCTGGGAGTGATCATGTCGGAGGATCTCACCTTCAAGGACCATAACATTGTATCAATCGCATCTGCTAGAAAAATGACAGGATGGATAATGAGAACCTTCAAAACTAGGGAGGCCAAGCCCATGATGACACTCTTCAGGTCACTTGTTCTATCTAGGCTGGAATATTGCTGCACACTAACAGCACCTTTCAAGGCAGGTGAAATTGCCGACCTAGAAAATGTACAGAGAACTTTCACGGCGCGCATAACGGAGATAAAACACCTCAATTATTGGGAGCGCTTGAGGTTCCTAAACCTGTATTCCCTGGAACGCAGGAGGGAGAGATACATGATTATATACACCTGGAAAATCCTAGAGGGACTAGTACCGAACTTGCACACGAAAATCACCCACTACGAAAGCAAAAGACTTGGCAGACGATGCACCATCCCCCCAATGAAAAGCAGGGGTGTCACTAGCACGTTAAGAGACCATACAATAAGTGTCAGGGGCCCGAGACTGTTCAACTGCCTCCCAGCACACATAAGGGGGATTACCAACAGACCCCTGGCAGTCTTCAAGCTGGCACTGGACAAGCACCTAAAGTCAGTTCCGGATCAGCCGGGCTGTGGCTCGTATGTTGGTTTGCGTGCAGCCAGCAGCAACAGCCTGGTTGATCAGGCTCTGATCCACCAGGAGGCCTGGTCTCAGACAGGGCCGCGGGGGCGTTGACCCCCGGAACTCTCTCCAGATAAATGCATTCCAGATTCCTCTCTGCAACATTTAAAGCCCATGCCTCACACCCGGATAAAAGGACAGGTGTCCCTATACTATAGTACGTTCCTATTTTTGCCTCTATAAATACATTTCTTTTCATAGACGTCTTAACACTGCCTCCCTTCGTCAATTCCGTAGTTCATTATTGTATATACGATTTAAACTTCAGTCCCAATTTTAAGGATTAAAGTATTGTTGACTGGTGATGCACAGGTGGTATGACTGTTGTGTGGTGAATAGGCTTTGTATCTAACAAACTAACCAGCCTGTACCATAGCTGCCTTTGTGTATTGTTATAGATTTTGCATTCTCATTATGATTCGGAATGTTCACCTAAATTCAGGGAATGTGTAAAAAAAAATATCTTGATACAGATAACAATATCGCTTGTACTGTTTATGAAAAAAATATATAATGTAGATAAAATAATCTGAGTGAACTACAGTAACTTTATTTATTAGGTATGTCTGAAGGGGGACTTTTTTGAGGTTACCTGATTTTTTTTCTTCTCCCAGTTTTTCAACTTTATTTCACTCATAACTCAAGATCACCTCATCCAATTTTCTTCAAATTTTCAACACATTTGTACAATAACAATGACCAGAGTCATGGAACAATTGCCAGGTTCTTGTGTCTTATGACCTAAGTTATCAAACCATTTCTCAGAATCCCGCCATTTCTCAGATATCTTCCAAAATCCTCAGTGGATAATTTCAAACGTGCCATAAGGGTGCCTCTTAATTCGACGACGTCAGTGAGTGAAATTCAAGTGGGTAGGTACAGACTTGACAATTTAATGTGGAAAAATAGTGTGAAATTTTGCTTCCCGTTTAATTATTATGATCAAAATATGTGCGTCTACCCTCTCTGAACGGCTTCGGTATTTAATGAATGATGTATCTTACAGCCAGGATTGTTCACATTCAGTTTAGTTTGTGTGTGAATCTTAGCGCCCTAGTATTATATATCTTAATTCCCTAGCAATAAAAATCGTAATACCTGGGTATTGAAAATCTTAATACCCGGATATTAAAGATTCTCAGTGCACTGGTATTAAAGTATACATATATAAAAGTATACATATGTATACATTTACAAACATTATCTCTTATTCAACAGCAGGGTTCGAGCCTACACACTCAGCATCAGAGTACATAGTACTTACACCACCCGGCCACTCGGTTCGAATCCTACTGTGGACTGAGAGATAATGTTTATAAATGTTAAACGCAAGTATTCATATTTATTTTGCTGCATTAGAATTTTATGACCACTCTGAACTATTCCTTTTGCATGCACTGAGGTAGAGGAGACTGAGCTTATGAGATACGGGGATACCTTTCTCGTGGCAGTGTTCATTGTCCTCTGAGCAGTCTATCAAGAATGTTATATTGGGTGTTGGAGAGTTGGACTAGAAATGTAGAGAAAAAAACGGTACGTGAGTCTTGGATGACCGACAATGTGTTCGGGGTCCAGAGTTTGGTCAGGTTTTCTTTAACCTCCAACAAAGAAGTTAATGGAAGCGGTGTTAAAAACATTTTTGTTTTTTAGGTTGGATAAGCAAGAAGTTGGTTAATGTTGAGATCTGAGCGTGTGATGGTAGCATCGAGTTCAGGTCTGATACACAGCAACTCTCTCTCCAGAGGTAGAGGGCTTTTGACTTAAGGAAATTGAGCTACCCTTGTTTACCTTGGCTAAAACCTGAGCAAATCCCCCCGTTCCCAGGCGCTGTATGATATTTACGGTTAGCCTATCAATATGAAAATTACAGTAACACTGTAACAACTCTCCCACTTTATTTTGTCAAAACATTTTTATGGATGAAAACTGTATTGCTGTATGCTCCAATCAATGCAAATATAATATATATATATATATATATATATATATTATATATATATATATATATATATATATATATATATATATATATATATATATATATATATATATATAAGTGGAAAATACTGTATATATTTTCCAGAAATTCAGTATTTATATGTATATAGATGGCCATACTGTATTTAATAACATTTATGTCATAGAAAATGGGAAACAACCTGGGGAGAAGAGACTCGCCATCTTGGTTTTGAATTTTGTACAAACGTTGGTATAATGGGAAGAATTTTTCGTGCTCTAGAGGTTAAAATTGTGTTGACACCTCTCAAATAGGAGGCGAAATTGGTGGATGTGCATTCCTGCATAACTTGAGATATCAGACGACTGGACAAGACAGCTTCAGGAACCTCAGATAAGCTCTCTTAGATTTGTGTGTAATTCTGGCCAGCATTATTTTCATAGATTTAGTTAGAGTGAGTTTTTCTGAGTATGATACACATTAATCTCCAGTCAAATTGGTAAGTGATATTAAGATATATTTTCCTTCTGTTATGTAATTGTGTATATATATAACCATTTATTATTTTTAATATACAGTCCACAAATTTATATATTTACCAGCATTCTTGGTGATGTATTTTTCATTTGATAATTAATAGGTCCAGAGCAACTTGTGGATATGACAGTGGTAGGTATCGAAGGGGGACATTTTTGCGACCTAGGTGTCCCAAATTCCTACTTGTCTATGTAACTCTGATAAATAATAATTATCTTTGTTATCATTTACTGTTATGTACATAATGAGTTACATTCAGATAAATACAATTTTCCATAATATATATATATATATATATATATATATATATATATATATATATATATATATATATATATATATATATATATATATATATATATATATATACATACAGTGTTATGATGCAATATTGTAATAATTTAAAAACTTTTTCGGCTATAAGTTATGTTGTCTTAATGATAACTTTACCAGTCATGCATAAATAGGTTGGAGCTAAGAAACGGAACCGTTCTATAATCGATAGGAGAAAAAAAAAAGATTTGCAAGTCACAGAGTGAGCAGATGAACCATAGTGAATCAGGTCAATATTGAGGCCAGTATATAAGGCGTGTTGACTAGTGCACAGACCAGTCAGTTGATCTCTTCTGAGAAAACACGTCTTTCCCCTCACACACACACACACACACCGAACATTCTGCCTGTGGATGACGAGGATCTCCCAATAATCTTTCCGAGAATAACGAGAAACCTCACGCTTCTACCTGCTATTGAGGAGAAACACCGTCATTCTACCCGTGAATGGCGTAGACCACAGTTCTACACGTGAATGATCAGGAATGCCATCATTCTACCCGCGAATGACGTGGAAATCCATTATCACACCCTCGAATAACAAGAAGCCTCATCATTCTACCCGCATGTGACGATAAATCCCATCATTCCACTCGCGAATAACGAGAAATCCCATCATTCTATCCGCGAATGAAGAGGAACTCAATCATTCTACCTACAAATAGCAAGAACCGTCGTCTCTCATAGTAAGTTCTCTTATACTATGTGCTGTATCACCTACACGGGGCTGGCACTCATTTTTTAATACAATAATAGTATGATGATGTTCATAACTACATTAGTAACAAATATCAACATTGTTCCACCGGTCATAGTTACATCTAAAAATATTGTTTTTTTTTCTTATATTACAATTTCTTCACATAGGTAATGTAATCTACACAGGTAAAACTCCAGGTAACGGTACGGAGATAAAATCTCAAAAAAAAATTAAGTATCTCACTAACTCTAAAACCGTTGGTCATTGTTAGACTGCAGCCTCATCAAAAGTTCCTTCATCTGGCCAGTGCAAAATGAGGATACAATCCCAATATTACAAATTTCTTATTTTTAGTAATAATGTGATTTGCCAGTTCCTGAAGGGTTTGTTTGGTCATGTTTAAATGACTGAATGTTTTGGATGTTCTAGAGTAATAATAATAATCTTTATTTCTACAAGTACATTAGACAACTTAGACGTAGTTGACATCACTGACATACTATATAGAAAGTTCCTTGTTATGCAGAGCATTTCGAGTAAATTAGGTTAATTTTGTCCCCCTACATACCTACTTAGTGCTAGGTGAATAAGGACAGCAGGTGTCTTAAGGAAACACGCTCCAATGTTTCCATCCGTACCGAGGATCGAACCACGGACCTTAATGTGTGTGAGCTGAGTGCGCCACCCACATTACATTATATAGCATCTCCATACAGACGAGACTGCCTGAGAGACAGCTGTTTGCCTCTACCCGTGACTGCAGCATCCCTCACTAATTTTCTCTCGTTATCTCCCTGGGCTTGTCTTCATAATACACTGCCCGCTAGTCAGTGGGTTGGGACGTCATACACCTTTTTTTCCTGCGTTCCGTCGATTTCTACAGCCGTCGTACCTTCCAGGAAGGTGCCTTTCTCGGATTAAGCCTAATTATCTCCTCTTCCCCAAGAGCTGTTAGATCCATATAGATTTAGCACTGAATCATGAGTATAATACAACTATTATTACTACCACTATTACTAATACTACTACCATCACTACTACTACTACTACTACTACTACTACTAATAATAATAATAATAATAATAATAATAATAATAGTGCACGGTACATTGCTATACTGACATTTTTACACATTTCTATCAGGTTGAACAGCAGCCTTCGTTTACAAGCCTCACGTCACTCATTAGATGATTTAATAAATAAACGCGGCCCTGAGACACCTCACACAACCAACACCACAATTCCAAGAATGGTACTGACAAGCTGCAGTGTTTGGAGGTAGTGGAGGAAGAGGCAGCTTGTGCACCACACGAGGGAGGGTGTGCACCACACGAGGCAGGGTGTGCACCACATGAGGCAGAGTGCACCACATGAGGCAGTGTGCACCACATGAGGCAGGGTGTGCACCACATGAGGCAGAGTGTTCACCACATGAGGCAGAGTGTGCACCACAACATGGTAGTGTCACACCTCACTCAATGCTACATGGTAATGTGGTTAGTGTGGGCCGCCACACTACCCACCTCAGCCAGTCTACCAGGTAAGATGTACACTATAGCTCCCCCTCAAGGGAAGTTCCTCGACGCTGATGAAGGGCTCTGGATCCAAGACACTGGAGCTACCTTCCATTTTCCTTTAATCAAATCTGACAATCTCCCAGTCCTCAGGGACTATATGGTCCCTATGGGTTTAGAGCTTCCCCTTGGATGTCATAATAACAGTTAAATTTAACGAACTGGAGATGTTTTAGACCTTCCCTTTCCTCGGATCAGCCCTGAAGCTCATTCCCTGGGGATGTTTTATTACAGCGATGACTTTTGTAATGTGAATCAAGGCATGTACCTGGAGTATACTTGGAGGGTGTACCTGGAGTATACTTGGAGGGTATACCTGGAGTATACTTGAAGGGTATACCTGGAGTATACTTGGAGGGTGTTGGGTAAAAGGACACAAGTGCAACTAGACATTTTATTGTGGCAACGTTTCGGTCTCCAGAGCTTTATCAAGCCGTTTTGTAACGGCTTGACAAAGGTCATGGAGAGTAAAACATTGCTACAATAAAATGTCATATTAGTTGCACATGTGGGTAATTCTGCCAACATTAATACTTGGAGAGTGTTTAGGGGGTCAACGCCCCCGCAGCCCGGTCCATGACCAGTCTCGCGGTGGATCAGAGCTTGATCAACCATTAACGACGTTTCGATCCGACTTGAACCATTAACTGTGACTGGTTAATGATCCAAGTAGGACCGAAACGTTGTCATAAGTTTCAGTCTCCTACATGCGGGTTATGTGTAATCGAAAGGGAAGGAAAAATACTGTGCTTTTAAGAATATCTTACAAGAAATATACATGCCTTGTTCCAATGTGATCTTCACTTCAATATTTCACCCATGAAAAGACTTGGACAATCACACTGTACACCAGTGTACAGTGCAGTGTCTTCCATTGCAGACACTGCAAGGCTCCAGGCGGACATCAACCAAATCTTTCAGTGGGCTGCAGAAAACAATATGAAGTTCAACGATGAGAAATTTCAATTACTCAGATATGGTAAACATGAGGAAATTAAATCTTCATCAGAGTACAAAACAAATTCTGGCCACAAAATAGAGCGAAACACCAACGTCAAAGACCTGGGAGTGATTATGTCGGAGGATCTCACCTTCAAGGACCATAACATTGTATCAATCGCATCTGCTAGAAAAATGACAGGATGGATAATGAGAACCTTCAAACTAGGAGCCAAGCCCATGATGACACTCTTCAGGTCACTTGTTCTATCTAGGCTGGAATATTGCTGCACTCTAACAGCACCTTTCAAGGCAGGTGAAATTGCCGACCTAGAAAATGTACAGAGAACTTTCACGGCGCGCATAACGGAGATAAAACACCTCAATTACTGGGAGCGCTTGAGGTTTCTAAACCTGTATTCCCTGGAACGCAGGAGGGAGAGATACATGATTATATACACCTGGAAAATCCTAGAGGGACTAGTACCGAACTTGCACACGAAAATCACTCACTACGAAAGCAAAAGACTTGGCAGACGATGCACCATCCCCCCAATGAAAAGCAGGGTGTCACTAGCACGTAAAGAGACCATACAATAAGTGTCAGGGCCCGAGACTGTTCAACTGCCTCCCAGCACACATAAGGGGGATTACCAACAGACCCCTGGCAGTCTTCAAGCTGGCACTGGACAAGCACCTAAAGTCAGTTCCTGATCAGCCGGGCTGTGGCTCGTACGTTGGTTTGCGTGCAGCCAGCAGCAACAGCCTGGTTGATCAGGCGCTGATCCACCAGGAGGCCTGGTCACAGACCGGGCCGCGGGGGCGTTGACCCCCGAAACTCTCTCCAGGTAAACCATGAATCCATCTTTCCTGAGTCATGAATCCCTCCGTCTTTAGAATACTCGATTCTCCTTGGTTGTTACCACACATCTATGTATATGCTGTCTCGTCGTATACTCCTAAATGGGAGGACATACTCATAAAACCTGCACTTGTAATAAAGTTTCTTGGAGGATCTGTACGTACCTCCTGGTACATCGTACTCATAAAATACGAAAAGTTTCTGATAACATGTACAATAGTTTTTATAAATTCCGAAAGAGATTTTCTTCGTGGGAATCTAAGATGAATAAGGGATACAAATATGAAAGCCGTGGTGAGAATCTTACGATTCTTGTAAGGGCAAGATTGATGGCTCGAGGATTTTTTTTTTCTTATTCCTCGTTTGTGTTGCAGGGAAAGTTAGACTGGGTATTATTTTGGTGTGTGGTTGCCCACTGCTAGTTCTTAAACCAGGTCATGAGCGCATACCCAGGGTGCATAAGCCAAGAGCTATGTTAATGTGTATAAAAAGTGAGCTTATAATCTCTATTTTTAGGAATCAAGGTATATTTGATGTTACTGTCAACTTGAAACAACACCTTAAGATTGCTTTTTTTTTTACTAAAATACAAGAAATGGTTACCTTTACAATAAGATAAACTAACATGTTGTACACGAAAGACAAATAATAATAATAATAATAATTTATTACTATTGTGCTATTACATTTATGTAGCACGCTAAACCCGCCTGGGACATTTAAGAACACAATTCACCTGTACACTAATACCTAGAATATATTACTCTCTTAAACAGGGATTCACCTAAATTTAGCTTATGATATATAAAGCCTCTCGTATATACATCCTGTTATTAAGTGGAAAGTAATACAGATAACAACGGCAGACAGGAAGGAATCTACTAAGGAAGACTTTCTAACGAAAACTATGAGGGCGGTGGGCGGTATGTAGGGCAGGTAACAGGCTTTACCACCCGCCCACCCCTAGGATATGGATGCTCTTGCCTCAGTGATCCCTGTACCAATACACACCTTATGACAGGTTAACTTGTGGTTGTGTTCAGAGACTTAGATACACAACCAAAAGATCCGGAGATCGAATCCCGGGTGAGTCGAGACGTTTTAGGCAATATCCTTAAAACCCTGTTCACTCGTCAGTCCAAACTGATAACTAAATATTAGTCGATTTTTGTGGGTCACATCACAGGGGAAGAAGAATGCAATATAAATGTATTAAATATCTCTAGTCCTGATGGAAGTTATAACTTTGGCAAAATGTTAATGTTGTTTACCGTCAGAAGTCTATGGTGCCTGCTGGCAGTAATTGTATAACTGATTATAGATTATAAGAGCTATGTCCCTCCCTGTAATTGCCTTTCCATTCATACTCATAAATTTGCACATTGGTCTTATAACGGTATTACTTCACTGCATATTCAACGTTGAAAATACTGTGCTATTAAGAATATCTTACAAGAAATATACATGCTTTGTTTTCTATGTGATCTTCACTGCAATATTTCACCTATGAAAAGACTTGGACAATCACACTGTAAACCACATATGTAATACTCATCCGTTCATGAGTATGCTGCGTGGATGCTATCCTGAATCCAAATTTCCTGAGTCGTGAATCCCACCGTCTTTGGAACACTCGATTCTCCTTGTTTGTTACCACACCTATGTGTATGCTGTCTCGTCGTATACTGACTCTACCTACACTGAATATTTCAATCTCATGGTCGATTCTCTATTATTCCACGTTGATTGTCACACTAGGTAAATGGAGGCCAAGATTTATGTAGGCTTAGGCACACACAGACCCAGGTAGATATAGTCACTACATAACTGCAACAACAACAATAACCCAAAAAAGTAATAATAATAATAATATTTCAGATGTGAAGCTGTCTTCATCGGATTCTAGCTCCTGGGTCAGTGAGACAGTCCCTCACCTCAACCATGGTACTACTTCAGGTCCAACGTCTGGCGTAGAGCATAATGTCACGCTGGATCAGCTGACGAAGGCTGCACCTGTCCATAATGATAGTTCAGGCACAGACTACCGAGAGAGTGTCGGAACTGATGAAAAGAACAGCGACAGAGTACCTCTGGCTATAGGAATTGCAAATAGGGAGGACAGAGTTCTTCAGGACGCTAGGGATCAAAATGGTGACTTCATGGATAGAGGAACTCAATCGGTGGTGGGGGACCAAGATGAAGCGTGCAGGAGTGTAGAGGGAGGTGAAGTCGGGTGTTACACGAGCGGTTACATCCCTAAGAAACTGAGACAACAGCCCTGGGAACGCAGACTCTCCTTGAACACACACGGGAGAATGCTAAACCTGAACGAGGAGATGCGGGGGGCAAGGCAACAAGAAACCTTGGAAGATATTGGGAAAGAACCAGGAGCAAAAGTGGATTTGTATCAAGATGCACAGCCAGAAAAAGATGATGTTGAAGAATATGAAAAAGGAAAACGTGAAATAGTGGAACAAACCGGTGATGGTACCGACAATAATTTCGACGAACAGGTGGAAGAAAATACCAGAGAAGGGGTTGCAATGAACGAAGAAGTGACAGAGAACCAAGCGAGACGTCAGTGAAGACAAGACGAACGCCCCGGAAGGAGAAAGGAAACCACAGGATCAACAAAAGACAAAAGAAAAGATGAAAACGCGGGCCCCGAGAAGGGAACGGCAGGGCCCTAGGATGACTACTGGAGGGTTCATCCTGAAGGGGTCGAGTACAACCCCGCCTTATGGACTATTATAATGTGAGTTCCCAATGATGTTAAGTGTAGAATTACTATCCTGGTGACTTTAATATACCTTTATGAACCAAAAATTTTTTGTAACTTTAAATGTCAAATTATGCTCAAAGTCGCGCATATAAAAAGGGTAAAAATTTTACTGGGCTTTTTTTTTTTTTCTAAACAAGATCTTCGAGAGTATCGCGAAATACCCGTATGTAGTAAATATAAAATTTTATTAGTAAGTGCAGGTAGGATTGGCAGTTAAAGGGTTTGGTTTTTGTGACACCCTGAGCTGCGGGGGACCCCACCAACCGGGAAAACGCTCCAGTGTCGCTTGTGGCGATACCTGCTCAACTACGCACGGGGAGCTGGCAAGTCCCCACCCGGCCCCAAGGCTGATTTTGGTGAGTATTGAGACAGAGTAAGAATGGGGGAGTTGGAGATATGCGATGCGAAGAGTAAAAAAAAAAAACATAAAAGATAATATTGCATATAAAACCCTTTGACTGACATCACCAAGAACCTCGTGATTCCCCCCATCTTTTTTCCCCTTGTCTTTTCTTGTGCTTGCGGTGCTCACAGAATCCCAGAATCGAATTTTTTTATTTCACGGGGAGGGGCGCTAACCCCCTGGGGTTCATGCACCCCTTGGGTAATGGGAGGAAGATTCGAGCAAAGGTAAAAAGGTTCCCCGATTCTTTGTATAAGAGTTTCATCGGTGAAACCTTCAAGGGAGATTGGTCAAACCCCCACGACGTCACAACAAGCTAGCTAATTTTAAAAAGTAACTTAAGACCCCTCAAAAAAAATCGGTAGGAAAATGTACACGACAAAAACAGAGTGTTAGAATATATAGTGCTGAGAGCATGTCAAAAGTTTGAAGTCAAAAAAGAGTTTAGCGACTGACTTAGAGGGGTGAACTGTGGGAAGACCCAAAAAGCCATTTAACAACTTAAAGAGAAGGAAGAGCAAGGGCAGTTAAAGAGTACAAGAATCAGAGGATGGGAAGACGTTTGAATTGAGGGTCATGCGTGTGGGTTTTGGTGGAGGAAAATTGAAGTCGGGGGTGATGAGAAATGTCTTCATAAGCCCAATAAACTGATCTGTGGTGTTAGAAAAGGGGGATGGGACGACCGTTGAGGGACAGGAGAGAACCAGGGGATAAATGGCAGTAAAGGTGCAGTGGTTTGAGAGGCTTTAAAAAAATTACTTTTTTCGGTCTCGAGGGGTGGAAGAAAATGCACAAACCCCTAGAGATAGAAATCAGAAAAAGGGGTCGTATATCAAGTGGTGACGCAGTAAATTTGGGATTTTTTTTTTTACTATATAAAAAAAACCCCCTGGTGATGACCCCCCTTTAAAACACTTTATATTGTTTCAAAAAAAAAGGGGAGAACCCCCATGTGGGGCCTCCCGGAGTTTTAAAACCATTGGTGATTTAAAACCTGCCCGCTTCCCACAACCCTTTCATTTACCAAAACCTTCCCCCTTCCCCTTGCCCTTCCCTTCCGTCCTCCCCCGTACCTCCCCCTTCTCGGCCTCCTCAGTACCTAACCCTCATCACCCTCCTCAGTACCTACCCTCATCAGCCTCCTCACGTACCAAAACCCCTCACCACCTCCTCATCCTCCCCTATCCTTACTTCCCCTTCATAGCCTTCAGTCTATTTATAGTTTTATTCATTTATTTTTTTATACTTATTCATAAGTCTTTAGTTTTTATTTTAAATTTTGGGGGTTAAAGTTTTTGGGGGGTGTGTGTTAATAACTTATTCTTAATTAAGTTAAAAACAAAGTTCTGGTCCCCGACAGGTTTTTAAAGTCAGTTTTGATGGAGGTTTTTGGGTGGGGCGGGGGGGCCGGCACCTTAAAAAAATAAAACTCAAATAAAATCAAAAACCTTGGAAGAAACCGTTTTTTTGCCCGCAAGGAACTAAGCATTTGCATTTTTGGGTATTTAAGATGATTTTTTTTTTAAAAGCAATTTAAAGGAGAAAATGTTTTTCCTTTTTTTTAATTTTTTTTTTTTTTCGTAAATAAACATGGTATAATTTTTAAATTTTTCAAAAAATATTAACCAAACCGTTTGAAATTTTTTAAATAAAATATAATTAAGTTTAACCCTAAACTAATTTGGGTATTTAAATTTTCTGTTCCCTTTTGGGGTTTCGTTTTTTTGATAATATAAAATAAAATTAAAGGGTGGGTATTTTTTAGATCAAAAAATATACATTCGTGATTTTTCGACTTTTTATAAGTAAATTGAGCAACCTGAAGTTACGTAATAATAGGTTTTATTTTTATGTCACGTTCTTGTCTATATTTAAACGTAAAGTAATGGGTGTGGAGGGGGGGACCCGGGAGTTATTGGGGGGGTGGGGAACCCAAAATTAAAGATAGGGGTGGAACTTGGGAGAACCTAAACAAATTGGTGGGTATTTTGGGTGGTGGAGACCAATCCAGTTGGTATTTGGGGGGGATGCACTCTAGGTGAGTATATTGGGTGGTGGATGACACATCTAGGGACGTATACTGGATGGGGGAAAGAACACCCAGGTGGAGATATTGGGTGGTGGAGAGCACCCAGGTGGGTATATTGGGTGGTGGGACACATCCAGGTGGAGTATATTGGGGGGTGGATGACATCAGGGATTATAGGGGTGGGGGAGGAACATCGGGTGGGTATATTGGGTGGTGGATGACCATCCGGTGGAGTATATTGGGTGGTGGATGAAAATCCAGGTGGAGTATATTGGGTGGGGGATGACCATCTAGGGGAGTATATGGTGGTGGGAACCCCAGGTGGAGTATATTGGGTGGTGGATGGCATCGGTGGATATATTGGGGGGTGGAGAACACCCAGGTGGAGTTTTTGGGTGGTGGATGACATCAGTGGGGAATATTGGGTGGGGGGTAAATCTAGGTGGGATTTTGGGGTGGTGGGACACATCCGGTGGAGTATATTGGGTGGTGGATGACCTAGGTGGAGTATTTTTGGGTGGGGAGACACTTAGGTGGAGTTATTGGGTGGTGGTTACACACCCAGGTGGGTATAGGGGTGGTGGATGACACATCAGGTGGAGAAATTTTGGGTGGTGGATGCACATCCAGGTGGAGTTATTGGGTGGTGGAGACAATCAGGGGAGTATATAGGGTGGTGGATTCACATCTAGTGGAATATTGGTGGGGGAAAGAACACCCCGGTGGAGTATTTGGGTGGGGATGACCACCAGGTGGAGTATTTTGGGTGGTGGAAGACACAAAGGTGGAGTATTTTGGGTGGTGGATGACATTGGGGGAGTATTTGGGGTGGTGGATGAACACCCGTGAGTTTATTGGGTGGTGGATGGCACATCTAGGTGGGGTTATTGGGTGGTGGGACACTCCAGATGGAGTATATTGGGTGGTGGAGGGGCACATCTAGGTGGAGTATATTGGGTGTGGATGACACACCCAGGGGGGGAATAGGGTGGTGGAGACACACCCAGGTGGGTATAGGGTGGTGGATGAACATCTAGGTGGAGTATTTGGGGTGGTGGTTGACACATCAGGGGAGTTATTGGGTGGTGGATGACAATTTGTGGGTTTTTGGGGTGGGGGACAACCCAGGTGGGTATATTGGGTGGTGGTAACACAGGTGGGTATATTGGGTGGTGGTTTAAATTGGTGAGTATATTGGTGGGGGAAAGCACATCCAGGGGGAGTATTTTTTGGGTGGGTGGATGACAATCCAGGTGGAGTTATTTTTTGGGTGGTGGTGACAATTAGGTGAGTTATTGGATGGGGATGAACCTCCAGGGGGTAATTGGGGGTGGATGACACATCTAGGCGGGTTATTGGGTGGTAGATGACATCTCGGTGGGGTATTTTGGGTGGGGGGTGATACATCCGGGTGGAGTATTTTGGTGGTGGACGAACATTAGGGGGGAGTATAGGGGTGAGGGGTGACACTTGGGTGACGTATACTGGGTGGTGGGAAGACACCCAGGTGGGTATTTGGGGGGTGGATGCACATGTAGGTGGAGTATATTGGGTGGTGAGTGACATCCAGGGGGGGGGATATTGGGTGGGGATGACACTCAGGTGGAGTTATTGGGTGGTGGATGACAATTAGGTGGAGAAATTTTGGGTGATGGGTGACACATTTGGTGACATACGGGGTGGGGAAGACATCCAGGTGGAGTAATTTGGGGGGATGAACATCTAGGTGGGTAATTGGGTGGGGATGTAATCAGGGGAGTATTTGGGTGGGGGGGATGACATCCGGGGAGTATTTGGGTGGGGATGAACACCCAGGGGGGGGGATATTGGGGGTGGTGGATGACACTTTTGGTGGAGTATTTGGGTGGTGGATGAACATTAGGTGAATATGGGTGGGGGAAAAGACACATCAGGGGGAATATTGGGTGGTGGGACACATCAGTGGAGTATTTTGGGTGGTGGTGACATTAGGTGGAGTATTTGGGGGTGGATGAAAATTAGTTGGAGTATTTTGGGTGGCGGATGACACATCTGGGTGGGTATATTGGGTGGTGGTGACAACTAGTTGGAGTATTTTGGGTGGTGGTGAACATTGGGTGGAGTTTTGGGTGGTGGATGAACATTAGGTGAGTATATGGGTGGTGGAAGACCACCCCGGGGGGAGTAATTGGGTGGTGGATGACACTCTAGGTGGGGAGTATATTGGGTGGTGGATGAAAATTGGGTGGAGTTTTGGGGTGGTGGATGAAAATTGGGTGGGTATTTTTGGATGGTGGATGACACATTGGTGATGTTATGGGTGGTGGAAGACAATCCAGGTGGAGTATATGGGGGTGGATGACACATCTAGGTGGGTTATTGGGTGGTGGAG